TTAAATTCAAGCCTTCAAGGCTCCAGATGCTATATCTTTTAATAGTCAGACACCATCAGGTCTGCCCACCACATTTGCTGATGTACCCATTTTATCTTCAGCAATCGTATTGGGAAGGTGGATATCATACATGGCCACATTATTAGAAAGAGTACTGTTCTTGTACTGAGGTAAGATTTAGTAAGAGGCCCAAAGTTCATCTTCTTCCATATTGTATTTACATATATATATACACACAATACACTTATCTTTATATATTTATATATTTACATATAGATACCTACATATATAATTTTTACTTTCATATTCTTTCCCTTTTTCTTTCCTCTTGCTCCATATTTTAACTCTCAAGATAACCTGCTTTATAAACAGACATTTCATTTTTAGTTACTTTTAATTAACAAGGGGCAGTAGTGAGTATATTAAAAGACAAAACACCTGTACCTAACAGTAAATCTAATATCTAATATCTACTCAGGATTAGGGAGTAAAATGGACATGTCACTAGCATTAGTATTTTCCCTCTTGGGAAACTTCCTAGATCAATATTATTTTTCTAATTTACCAGGTGAGTTAGCAGAGGATTTAGAGTCCTTGGAAATATAGTCGTAGATTGACTCAGGCTCAGGAAGTCGAGCAGACAATTTAAACCTGGATATAATTAGATGGTGCAAACCATCAACACACTCACTAGCAAGCTGGAAGATAAAGGTTTAAATTCACCAGAGGTGCCCCAGAAGAAAAATCTGGCATTCTACTTCTGAAAAATGAACCATTGAGAACCCTATTGAATATCATTCTATTCTGATGCATAAGAACCATCATGAGTCATAAACAATAAATAAAATATATCAACTGAAATTTTAGATACAAAGTCTTTGCTCTTTTTTTTCATAGCATGTTTGCTCACTCATTCATTTTCTATCTTTTTTTTTCTTTAGAGCCATGGAACTGTATCTTCCAGATACTGACATGGCTCATGAGTGATAGTTTCTTAAAACATCTTAGCTCAATCCTCGTCTTACTG